CCCGGCGGGCCTCAACTACAGGGTAGAAATCAACATTGAGACCAGCCCATGGGAGTAGGAAGGGGACAGAAAGAAGGAAATTTAGCATTTGTTAATCCATGCTCAATGTAGCCACAAGATGAAGAATCTGTTTAAGACCTCACTGAGAGGGCCAGTTGGCAAGTCTGGGACACATTCCAAAGTCCCAGAACCCTACAGGGGTCAGCTGAGGACACACTGTGGGACCTTTTCCTCTGCCTGCAAAGGGACATGGTTACTGTTTTCACATAAACCTCTCCAGCTCACTGGCAGTGTAGAGCAGCCTTCTGGAGTCTTGCTCCCAAAGTAACCCCGAGACCCTCATTCCCTAGCCTGGACCCATGCCTAGGCAGAGCACAGAGGTGCAGGCGGACACGGCCTCAGCTGCCCTGGTCAGGCACATTGCTCACTGAATGGCACTGCTAATTTCCCTCCACGTAGGAACTGGCAGGCTGTTTAGTAGTTGTCAAATGGGCAGGGGAGTCGCGATGAATCGGTGGGGAGTGCAGCTGATTCCACTTTTTGTCAGGTCTGGATTTCACTCTGGGCCTAGGCCACAAACAGAATACCCTTCTCCATGCCCCAGCACAAGGACTGTCAGAGCTTCCTCAACTGCCAAAGAACTCCCTGAGCCCAGCGGCCCTGTCAGCCAGGGGCTCATGACCTGGGTTCCACCTAACTCTCCTTTCCACCCGTCCTGACCTCTCGCTCCATGTTCAGCACCAGCAAACAGCTGGCCTTTCCAGAGTACACGCTCATTCTTTCCCTTTGGTGGAAGGGTCTCCTGCCTCCCTCCACCTGGTATAACTTTCTCCATTCGTTTGCGCTCAATTTGTGCATCACCTTCCCTAAGAAGCCTTCTCTGACAGAGTCCTCTGAGGAATTTCTGTGTGATACTCTCATGATTCCTTCTGGAAATTTCTATCAGGTATTTACCACTGTTATGGTTTGTGTCTAGCTGTCCCCTCCCTGAGCTTCCTATGGTCATAGGTCAGGCAGGTGGCTGGATCCAGGGTGTGATGATGGAATTAATTCACAGTTCAGCACTAGGCTCAAGGGCACTAGGATTAATGGTGCAAGTGTTACCTGCCCTAAGCAATAAGACAAAAGGGGCAGAAAGATCTGCTAAGTTCCCTTGTTGCTTGCACCTCCATAAACTGTTTCTCCTCTGCCAAGATACCCCGCCTTGGAGCTAGCTGGCTATGGGCTATGAACTGTAAGCCAAATAACCTTTTCCTCCTTTAATTTTGGGTGTCGGGTGTTTTGTCCCAGCATCAGAAAAAGTAATGCAACCACTGTCTATAATTTCTCCTCACAGGAGTAGATTTCTTTTTCTTTCCTTCTTTCCTCCCCACTTCTCTCTCTCCCTCTCCCTCTCTCTTCCTTTCTCAGCAAGCCAAAGTGAGCCTTTATTTTAAGGGCCTGCACCACAGCACAGGGAGGTCAGAACACAGTAAAAGCCTTGCTAGACTAAAATCCAAGAAGTGGCTGGGGAGTGCTGCTTGTATAGCAGCTGCAGCCTGTTTCTGTGAGGGACAGGGCTGTAAACTTGCTGTGAATGTTGGCTATGCAAACAAGTTGGTGAGAGATTTTTATTCCTCCAGCGGGCAGGGTCAACAGCCTCAGATCAGCTTTGAAGCAGTTATACAAGACAGACCCTTGCCCTTCAGCTCCCCTTAAAATTAAGGGGATGAAATGGCTCAGTGAAGAAATGAGACAGATAAGAAGTACCTGACTCTCTCATTTTAGCCTGTGCCAGCTGGAGGGGGACGTGGCTGGGCTGGTGACCAGCATGCCCCTCTCCCTGCCATCACTTTCCTACCCTCCACCCCGAGTGGACTAGGACAACTCGCTTCAGTGTCCTCCCTGGCTATCAAACGGCCATTCTCCAACATGCGTGCAGCAAGACAGGCAGCATGGGTCCCTTCACCTCTACCTCCTCAGGTCACACTGCTTCCTTTTTGAAGAAGAGCTGGAGGTATCCTGGAGTGGCTAAGATCAGGCAGGGAGGGATCCAGGCCTCTTATTTGCATAGGAGTGGTTTTCTTGATGGTGGAAAGCATCTCCGCTTTTGTATTTGCATCTTCAGTGTTTAGTAATATGTGAATGACTTGGAAGACTCCGCCCAAATCATTCTTCTTTTGAAAATGTTTATTAGTGTATGTTTGCAGTATATAATGATTACAGTTATCAGGGAGCGTTGGTACATGTATATAACACACCTGAATTCTTTGTTTTTCAATTCCCTACTCCTCCCTTCCCTCCTTGCTCTCTCATTTGCAAAAGCTCTATTTACATCACTTCCCCCGCTCAGTTCTTTTTCTTTCACCCTCTTCCCTCCCTTTCCCTTCATCTCTTGTTCAACCAGCCACCAAATCACTCCTAATTCACAGAAGCCTAAACCTATCCAGAGCATTTCCACATTTCAACAGATGCAAAGTAGTTGGACGTAGAGGATGATAGTGAATACAAAACAAGATGCACAGACCCAGATCGCACTTAAGAATCCAGAAGCGACAGAATGTACTTTGTGATGGGGTCAGTGACCCTGGGGGAGAGACCTGCTGTACACTGAAGAAACTCAACATCTCAGAGGCAGAGGAGGCGGAGCTACCACCTTCCCCTGGACTCTGGAGGACAATGCAGGCTTTGTAAATGAAACCATACCCTTCACCTGCAGCTACACTCCTGAATTCCACCGCACAAACCTGTGTGAGATATGTAACCCTCACATGTGCCCCTGTAGGCCAAATACATAGGCGATGGGTATTGCATAGGCAGGGAATTTTTGCTAAAATGCTTAATCTTTAAAAATAACTGAATTTATGTCCAAACCAGAAAAGCCTGCACTACTCAAAGAATCCCAACAATGTCTTATAAATAAACGTCTGCATGACAGCCACAGGTGACATTTCTGAAGGACACAGCGCAGCCATAGCTGCTCTCTCAGGTGCCACACTGATTCTCTGGGAAGGATGGGCCCCCAGGTGCACACACAGAGGCTGGGTGTTCAACGACGGCGTGATAGAAACCTGACACAGCCAGCGGCAAAAAGCACCAAAGCATTTTATGAAGCAGAGACTTTGCTAGCCTTTGAATAATTAATTCCAAGAGTCACGCAGATGTACAGAGTAAGCTGAACCCTGATAAATTCTAGATTTGATGCTCTGTTAATTAAACCCCATTCTACCCTGAAAACACACACACACACACACACACACACACACGTACAAAGCATACAAATTGTGCTATGTTAAACCTCATTTTAACTCTGATTCAAGATGCATAAAGACCTCTGAGATATTTCTCAAACCCTAACAGGAAATATAATGATTCAGTTAGTCTTACCCTGAGGTAGTTGAGGGTGAAGTTGGTTAGACCCATCCTGGTGATGTTTTTAGACAGCTGATCCAGGACCTGAGGATCTTGTGCCTAAATATGAAAAAAAAAGTCATATTTTTTATCCCTATGAGATGGTCCCACCAAAACCTTAGACTGTGCTACCGCTGCTGAGAAATGCAATCTTGATACTGTCGATTTCTCTTGGAGGGACAGATTGCTGGAGATAATTTAATTTACATTTTGAAGACTCTTGCATATAGCATTCAAGGACATTTTTGGATCAACTGTGCAAGATATGGGAAATCCAAACCGCCTCAGATGTGCATTTGATCCTAGATAGAAATGATACTATTATTTTTGTGAGAGTCCCTGATGCTGCGTCTGCAGGGTAAAAGTCACTGAGACTTGCAGGAGAGCTTCAGGGACAGGGTCCTCACCAGGGGAGGAGGCGCCTCTGCGTGGGGCAAAGCCAAGCCTTTGTCTCCTGCTGTGACATTGGTGCTGCTTCTTACAGCTCAGAGATGAGGATTGTATTTGAAAATTTTGCAACTACCACGATCCATGATTATTTTGCAATACCATAAATCTATGGGGGGGCAGGGAGAGAGAGAGGGAGAGAGAGATTTTCTCCTCCTCATTAAGCTGAGGCTAGGAACAGACAATTTTCATTGTAACGTAAGTATCACTTATCTCAAAATGTCAGCTGCATTTTAACACTGGGTGTAAAGTACCATGGGCCTCCCCAAATGTCATCTTTGCTAAACGAAAAATGAAAATTCTTTTTCTATTCCACTTTAACAGCGTCTCTTGGTCCATGCTCCCTCTGTCTTCCTTTCTTTCTCTGATGGTATAAGCAAATTGGTACTACAGAGAGGGAGATGTAGGTAAATATCCTGGTCTCCACACCCGCATTCATGAGTGTCTAGGTGAGTGATGGAGAACCTTTAAGAGCTTTCAATGATATAAAGACCCCACTGTGGCATGCATGCCACAGGTGGGCCACCCCTGGTCTAAATTATACAGATATAGCAAATTTATGTTGTTCTATTCTTACCTTTTTGACTGTTAGATTTTTTAAATTGTTGTAATCCTTAACGAACAGATTCATCATGAAAAACTGGTACATACACATGTGGTTTCTTGATACTTTTTCCTTCCCCTTTTCTGCCATCCCCTTTCCCCCATCCTTGTGCTTACATTTTTTTCCCACAGTGATACTATTCATTGGATTTGTGTGCATAAATAAAAAGCAAAATGTGGGAGAAAGTAGTCAGAGGGTATCAACTTTGTGTCAGTTTCTTGAGAGGGGGTCTTGGTGGGCATGGAGCCTACATTTACTGAGCCTCTCTAGGAAAAGCTGTATCTACAAGAGGTGCATCAAGAAGTCATGGGCAAGCCGGGTGTGGTGGCACACACCTATAATCCCAGCATTTGGGAGGCTGAGGCAGGAAAATCGCTGTGAGTTTGAGAACAGCCTGGGCTACGTAGTGAGTTACAGGTCAGTCTGAACTACATAGTGAGACCCTGTCTCAACGCCCTCGGCCAAAAAAGAAGAACAAGTCATGGGCAATGGCAAGGAGCTTACACTTTAGGCAGAAGATAGGACACTAATCACTGCATGGAAGAATGGTGCTGCTGCTGTTCATCACTGAACAGCAGTACTGCAGAGGGCCATGTTCCAAGTGTTATTCAAAGAACTTTACAGCTATTAACCCTTAACTGTCAACCCAGATTATTGTGGCTTTCTTCACCAGCCTGCCCTGCTTTCTCCAGGGTGTTCTCTTTTACCCTGCTCCTTCCTCTTTTACTCAGACCAAACTCGCTTCTGCAGAGCCAATATCTCCCTCACTCTTCACTTCTACTTTTTCAAATGAACTTTGTCACTGATTAACAACAACAACAACACAATTTCAAACCAATTCCCTTAGGCACAATTTATTACTATATCTATTATTGTATGGAGCTGAACCAGAGATGTCATGTCATTTCCCAAAGGCTATATATGAACGAGAATACAGCCTCATGTGGTGTTAACCAAGGGACCTGGCTCCAAACTACTACCCTCTATGGCCTTTCAGTCTGCTTTGAGAGTGAGAGTAGACCCCTTGGCATCTTCAAAAGAGCTGAGGAAGCTGGCTGTAGTGCATGCTTGTAATACCGGCGCTCTGGGTGGCTGAGGCAAGAGGATTGCAACTTCAAGCCCAGTTTGAGCACCTTAGTGTCTTTAGCAAGACCTGTCTCAAAAAAAGGATGGGGATGTTGTTCAGTGCGAACATAGTTGATTGTTCAGTGACATTACCAACTGTGTCAATGCCTTGGTTTTGCCACTTCAGGGCTAAAAACATTGGGACGTTTATTGAACTCTAAATCTGTTTCCTCACTTCTAAAATAGGAATAATAATGACTCTTCTTACTGAGTGACTGTGAGGATTAGACGTTACAATGTCTACAAAATACTTAGCACATTGTCTGGCATAGGGAATACTCATGAATGGCCTACTGTCACTTATTCTCTTTTGATTATTCCTCAGCCCATTAAGTCTGAGTGTGTTCCAAAGGGTTTTTCACAAAAAGATGCTATACCCAGGCTTTATAGAGGAGGGACTGACTAGAGCCAAAGCTTTTGAGTCCTTCTTCATGAACTACAGTTGACTAGTTCCTACTTACCTTTAAAATAGATCTCTAGGGTGTCATTCATCAGATTTGATGCTTGGACCTACCTGGTGCTCAATAAATATGATTATGGCTAAAGGACACCAAGAAAATCCCAGACACTGCATTCCCAAATCCAACTCTGTGGTTAGGAAGGGAAGGACCCACTCCTGCTGACACAGAACCAAAGGTACAGGAGTCCCACATCCTGACAGATGGTTCTAATCAAAACTGGAAGCCGTTCTCACTTCCTCTTTTATTTCATTTCCCACTCACACAGTTAAAAGGTTTATTAGCAGGAGCAGAACAGTACTTAATAATGACTGAACAGTTTAAGAAAAGTACAACAATTTATTGAAGTAATCTCAATTTGGAGTTAAAATAATAAGTATTAATAGTCTCACAATTTACCAAACTCAGAAACAAGAGATGACAAAAGGACTCTGGGTTAAGGTGGATGAGAGAAAAACTCAATAATGAAGAAAGAATCAATTACTTAAATGTTAGGATACCACCGGGGTTCTTTCACAGATTCCCTCTGAGTAAAGTGGAGGGGAAAGAAAAGAAAAGAAAGTAAAATAGAAATTAAGTTACTTACATGCATGGCTAGTATGCTTCTGGGGACCAGCTCTCTGTACTGTCTAATGGTAAAGTGCCAAGTTTTTATTCTCATGAGATCATCGAAGGTGAACTCCAAGATCAGCCTGCCTTCTGTACACACCTAGCAGTGACAAACAACATTCATTTGTTAGGCAGTTCACAGTAGCCACATTTTGTAACCCACACCAGCCATTCCACACAGCGTTCCTTACTGTAATTGGGCAGCAGGGGCTCTTGGCAAAGATGTGACCCACCGGGGTCACCATGGGACTCAGGTGCAAGTATCCACTGGTGGATTCCATAGACAGACCCCTAGCCAGGAGATGCTATAACTCTACTAATAACTGCTGAACCTCTACAAATCTGTTTCTTCATCTGTAAATGTGGAGAGAGAGCCCATGTGGAGGGACATTGGTTAAACACTCTTAGCACACACTATTTACCCCAAAAGATTGGTGCTCTCTCCCTCCCTACTTTCCTTCCAGGTTCACCATCCTTTCTATGGGAGCGTACTCTCTTGTTCCAGTCTCATGTACCTTATTCTGAATAGTATCCTATTGCATCACGCATGCTTAAGTGTGAGTTAGGATAAAGTTACCCAACTAGAGGAAGTTTCTATTTCTAAAGAGAAATTCCAGAGGGCAATGCTTAACCCAGGTCAGAGATATCAGTAACCGACATGTGAAAAACAGGCTTATTGAGTCAGTATATTCCTGAGCTCATCGCATCAACAGTGACAAATTCTGCTTGTCTACGAGGCCATTCTTGGAGGGTTGGTGCCTTTTATTTTCTAAGAAAAAATATTATTCATAAAACACAATAGGATTTCAGAGGCTCTCTTCTTTTATGAGGGAAGGATTTTTCTCATTCTTTGATATGCATATTATTTTTAGCGCACAGTTCCTATTTTATTTGCTCTTCTTTTCACCATTGACGATTTTTGAAGTGAAAGAAAATGCTAGGCAACTGCACACCACTGGGAGCGCTTTAAGTGTGACAGGAAGTGGTGGCAGTGCACTGGGCCTTGGAATAGTCACAGCCCCCCCGCAGCCCCTATTTGCCTCAGGGAAGTAGTCAGCAACAGCAGGTGAAAGCTCTGATGTCAGCAGGCGCTGGATTTGAATCTTTACTCATTTTGTGCTCATCCTGGACTTTGGAAAAACTAAGCCACTAAATTCTAGTTTCCTAAGATGTTAAATAGGGATAATAATATCCCTATATAGAATTGTTGAGAAAATACATAAACGGAAATTATATCTAATCTATATCTATAATGTATCGATTCGTGTTGTGCCTGGCACAGGCAGAATGACAGTAAATGATAACTATCTCTCTTAACATATTGATCTCCTAATTAAGCTTTTTTTGGAGAAAAAATTTCGTAGACCAAAAACAGCAATACAAAACTTTGGAAGCTTTAAAAAACACATTCATAAGTAAATAAGTAAATATTAACTGAATGGGGCTATAAACACTTCTAAAAGGATAGTCCACGAGGAGTTTTTGGTTAACAGTTTATATGTAACCTTCTGTAACATATGAATGAATAATCAATTTCCTTGTTGGGAATTTCAGCCAAACAGAACTATTTATTGAGCTCCAATTATGTTTTCAAAGCAGTTAGGTATGTTCTACATACTCTGATTGAAAGCTATACCTTCTTTCAATAAGCCAAATCCAGTACAGGAGAGCTGCTAGTGAGTGCTATTGGAACACTACTCAAGAGAGATGCTGTGAACACCTGCCATCTTCCTTTATCAAAGATCTAGGAAACACTGTAAGATAATTATTGATAACATGGGTGAAGACCTCTAACTCAGATCTAATTAGCAGAATCAGTGGGTAATTTCAGGCATTTGGGCATGCTGCTCCAAAACTCCTGAGTGGAATCATCTTCAGAGCTGTGTTTCTAGTATCTCAGTAATGAGAGTTGTGTCCTCAGAAGCAAGGGTAACTTATCCTTAGACCCCAAAACACTCCCCAAAAGCAGCCTCAGCATTGGAATTAATTTACCAAGACTTCCAAAAGAGTTTCATGGGGATTAAACCACAAGGTCTCCCCCTGAGGTCTCAGCATGATAGAAGCCAACTGTGATGACAACTTTCACAAAAGGGACAAAGCTACAGCCAGTCATCAACAGTGAAATGTCTTGAGAACACAGGACAGGGAAATTTGGATACTGTGATCCTTTTTTTAAAAAAAGAGGATTTTTGGTTATTTAATCAAATTCTTGCCCAGCTAAATGTCAGGCTTTTTATTATCTAATCTGTTTGTTTTGTGTTTATGAACCACAAACTCCACGTGGGTGGAAGTTGTAGTTTGCTTCTACAGAGCAGAATTTCGATGGAGTAGAATGGGAAGGCATGGGTGTAGTCCTGAGGGATTACTCAGTTGGGGCAGCTGTAAAGTCAAGTTAAATTGTGTGCTACGTTCCCTGTGACAAAGTGAACTAATACAGGACCTCCCTTTGCAGTCATATTTTCATGGGTCTACCAAATGGAAAACTGCCACAAGCTTTGGGCTCCTTTTTAAGGAATTAGCTTTATCCAGGTTGTACTATGGGCAAGATGGGAATCCTTGGAATTGAATTTGAGATGACTGCATTAAGTGTTTTTGTTTTGTTTTGTATTTTCATTTTAAAGAAAATTAAATGACTTCTTTGAGTGAAAGAACGAGGGAGAATTTTGGTTAGTGATCATTTTAGCCAAGTAATTATACCCACAGCTTCATTCCAGATCTTAGGCAGTCCCTTGCCCCCATAATGGAAGTTAAATGAAACCAAAGGCTTTGTGATTTGTTTTAATGCAACAATCAGGAAATGGAATAGAAGCATGTATGAAAAAATATATGTATTCTCTGTTCAGAAATGGTAAAAAAAAAACGGGCATGGCTTCTAAAGGGGAGCTACTATCTTCTCCCAAATAATAGTGTACATTCTTCTTAATCAATGAAATTAATGTACCTTTTATCTAAAGCCGGCCTTTTTTTAAAAAAAAAAACTGCCTTTTCCTTGGAATCCAAATCAAAAGGGTCCTCAATTAAGAAAACATTTTCTGTTGTGCTGAATTCATGTTACCGTATTGTGAGCTCTGACATTTTGTTTCTGTGGTAACCAAAATCAGCTGATTAGTTGGCATGGCAACAGAAAAGATGTAATCCCAGCAGACACACTCTAATCAATGCCCCCAGCACAGATGGTCTCCAGAGGATCAACAAGAAAGAGGCTGGCAGGCATTCAGCAGATCACGTGCTAGTTTGAGACTGGGCCAGGAACAAGAGAACTAAAAAAGAACATTTCTTAAACTAACCGGTAGCTTTTTAACCCTTTTCTTTCTTGACTAATTGCAAAGCAATATTAATCATGTAGTTGTCTAATGCAATGATTCTCATATAATGTTCGTAAAATAAGATGAGCTTTTTAGGTAGAAGTGTTCATCTAAATTTATTAGTCTTTATGCTTGAACAGCATGCATGGAATAATAGTGTTTTCAGATTAACAGTTACATAAATTTTTTTGTGTTTTACTTTGAGATCTGGCATATATAAATGCATATCAAGTAGTGTGACCATTAGCATTGTAATTTGGTGAGAGTCAAGAAAAGAGTGGGAATTCTGGAGTACAATGTGGTATACAGGTTACAGTAAGAATAATAAGCAAACTATCAAAGACACAAGTGAGTGTTTATATGGATAAACCGGTTGGTGCAAGTCAATGGTAAATAAGTTCATAATAAATGCCTGAGAGCTGAAAAAACATACCCTTACATTTATAAAGGTGATAAAAGTGTCATGTAATGGGTGCAATTATTGTCTTACTTTCCAAAATCTAAGACTATCCATAAAAATATAGCCTAGATTCAGTATCTGTCACTGTTCACATCCTCAGGTATAAATATAACCCAGGGGTCTTTGATTCTGAAAAGCCTGATGCTCTGATTAAGCTTTGTTTTCTATTTTTTTATATTCTATTCAAAATTGAAAACATAAAAAAGGCTTTATAATGTTTGTTTTAAAATTCTAATTACATATTTATCCATAATCTATAATGTTTCTGAGATCAGGAAATTGCAAAATACTCACTGTACCCCTGAGGAATATTTAATATTACTGTTGAGTAGGACTGTGGCTAATTTTTGATTCACTAGTTGACCAAATTTTCATAAAAGCAACTCAGAACCTCTGGGTCAAATGCTATTTGGGGACTGAGAGTTTATTGGTAGTCTAAATTAGAATTGCCAACACAAAATGCTAAGTAATACCAGGTACGGAAAAAATAAGCATTCGTTTCCAAACCCTTTTTCTTTGTGATACTGAAAGCACATTAGCCCACTGTTTTATGGTAAGTAGCACAGTGTTTTATTACACAGGATGAATTATTTTTAATTAATATAAGAGCACAAGAAAAATTGGAGATAGTCTTTGGGCAGTATAGCAATCACTGAAGAGTAATGGGGAGGGAGGGAGAACTTATCAAGTTTTCTAAAAATAAAGAAGCATAATTAACATCTGGACTAAGTCCTACAACTAAACCGCATTACCCAGGAAGTGATTGTTTTCAGCACGGTATGAAAATATTCATTGCAGGACTGACAAATATCCTGCCGTGGACTAGAGCAAGATGGGTGGCCCAAATACCCGATGCCTGGGGCCAAGGGAGCAGTGCACAGGTGGGTGCCCACGTCTTTCCAGTGACTGCCTCGGTGCCTCAGCCCTCCAGGAGGGGAGTGTTCCAGGAAAAGACAGAATGCAGCTGAGGAAAACCTTCTTGCTTTTTGATAGGAATGAAAATAGCACCTTACGATTCATTGGAAGAATGTGATTCTTTTTTATCTAAAACAAGTCTGGAATGTTCAGCACTCTACTTTCAGAGCAGTTATGTTCATTTATGAAAGAGTTTTAGCCTGAGAAAGGAAGAAACAGTATATATGTAAAAGAGCTGCTACAAATGGGCTATTTTCAATGGCTACAAAAGTTAAAAGTAGTTCCTTAATTATGGTAAAGCTTTATTTAATAATTATGGATTCTTTTGTTCCTCTTAAAGCATAAAGAAGCAACATTTTTTTTCTAGAATTAAAGTTACATTAAGGGGGGAAGGGGAGAGAGAAGAGTAATAATTATGCAGGAGAAAAAGGCTTTCTTGGCAGTACTAAGACTTCGTCACTTCAAGAAGGAATAGATTGTGCACCTATGTGATTTGCAAAATTATGAAACTCTTCTACATCGCTGCCAGAAAGTAAGACATGGACAGATGAAACCATCACTGAGATAGACATTTCTTTCCACACAGAGAAACTGTCACAGCATGGACGTCTGCCCTCAACATGAAGCTTGTTTCTAGACTACAACTTTCCTCTGTCCAAATGTTAAAACAACAGGGAAAAAAAGAACCTTATTTCGTCCCAAATTTAAACCCTCAAAATCATAGCATCAGTGGTATTGGCAGCAAGGGGAATTAAGCTGCACCAACAACATCAATTAATAAATAAGAAACATTTTAGTTTATTGGGCCTTGGTAATTAACTCTGATAATTCAGTGTATTTCAACTATAAAGAAGAGATCTTCACTTTTGTTTCGTACCAAAGGAGATAGCTGCTGTCATTAATATCTCAAGTTAGTTTCACGCTGAGTCTTAGTCCAAGTGCAGTGAACTAGTGTTCATTAAAATAAACTTTTGTGGAATAGATGGGGTACCTCAGAGGCAGAATGTGTGCTTAGCATGTATAAGGTCCTAGGTTTAATCCCCAGCGCTACCAAAAATAACTGATTAAATAAATAAATGCAATTTAAGATTATGTTTGCCAGATTATACAACTAAATACTTATTCTTACTAATTTTTCTACATGGGAAGGGATCATCTGTTGAGTGCCAGAAAAGTCTAACCTAGTCACACACACATAGATCCTCTCACAGAGCTGGCAGTGTCTGAGACATGAGACACCAGTTCCAAGTTCCAGAACAAGACCACCATTAGTGTTTTTTAATTCACCCAGAGGTAACCCAGGAGTGTACCCAAACCTGGCCCGTACCTTGGTGAACATGGGCTTCCCGTGTTGGGTGACCATGGCGCACTGGTCGCAGTCCACTGTGATGGAGGAGTTGTGGTAGGACTCTTTTGAGTGCTTGAGAATGTAATACAGGTCAGTCACCCCTCCTTCAAACACAGTGCTGAAGTAACGAGGGATGAGGGTCCTGCCAATAGCTGGGAGAGAAACACAGAGAAGCAAACCATTAGGAAAATATTCAAGCAGATCCACTCACCCCACCGCATCACCAGACCTTCGGTGGCTGGATACAAATCATCTCCAGAAACCAAGCCAGAAGGCAATTTCTGCTTCTAAACAAACAGACCCTTCTGACCCAACTATTTAAGAAAAATATGGACAGTTATCTCTCTAGGTTTTGTGTCCACTAAAAGCCAATAAAATAAGAGCTACTACGTTAAAAGAATGGAGGAGGGATGCATTTACCACTCTGGACCTTGTATATACTTTTTAGCAAATATGATTTTATAAAAAATGACATATACAACCTACTTAGAGTTTTAAATGTGTTGTTTATAAGCCAATTACCCAGTTATGTTTTATTTTTATTATCAGTAGTAGCAATATAAATTTTAATACCATATGTTTTATAATTTGTGATGCATTTTGGCATTTTCTCACCAAATCTCCAGAATAATCCCAAGTGTACAAGACTGTGACCTGAAAAACCACAGAACTGAGACCTAAAAATGTTATTATGATAAAGATGATTTTGTGCATGTTTCGGTCATTTGACTTAAAAGTAGGTGTTTGGAGTTTTTAACTCCATATCGTAAATACCAAAACACTTTGTCTTTCCAACACTGAGTGTCAAACTGTTGTAAAGAATGGAAATCTTTCAGCAGTGTAAACTGCATCTCCTTATATAAAGAGATCCATAACTATGTAAATGCTGATCTTTCCATCTGCTTTGGAACTGGATAAAATATCTCTCTAGACTAAAAGGTCGACTTTGAGAGAACTTGATACCTTCCGCTTGATCTAAATTGGTCTCTGATTCCATGTGGTCAGTGCTGCCCCATTTCAGGTTGAGCAATCGTGTGAGTAGCTGAATCATTCTGATATATGACACCTACAAAACCTGTGACAAGCCCTGGTCTCAGCCCTGATCTGAAATCCTCTTACACTGGTGATCCCAATTCATAATATCAGGAATCTTGCCTATGTGCAGATTTTAAGGCAAAGTCCTAAAAGCATTCTCAAGCAATACAAGGTTTAATAAATATCTTACACTCACTATATAATACAACCCCCAAAAGACAAAGGTAATATTTAAGATAAACTACCTAAGAGGGCTCTAGCTAGAAAAGTCACCCAATTATCACTTGGATGCTTTAAAATACATAATTTCATCTAAAAAGAATCAGCACTAATCCATTCCATATGGATCTAGAGCTCTTTTGTACATGAACTTGGAAAAAATAAGTACAAGAAGAATACCCTTCCAAACTGTGTTCTGGAGTGATCTTTAAAGAACCCTGATGGAGATGATTAGTCTCCGAATAATGTATATAGTTCTTATTGCTTCGTATTTGCTGTGGGGAAAATCAGTCAACAAGTGTGTGCTAACCATTCCAGGAACTTCAGTTCTTCCTTCCCAAATAATCCTTATACATACATTTCCCAAATACTGCCCTAATCCCCAATGCTGCATGTTCATTCTCTGAATATAAAATTCAAATGAGAGTAATCTGAGTACACCATATCCTTAAACATATGCATGGCTAATATTATAAAAGGAAACTTTGTTATGCTAAAAACCTTATTGCACTTCACTAAACAGATAAAATTAATTGAATGCATTTCAAATATTCGAACTTAAAGCTAATTACTTTAAATCAGCTCAAGTAATTTAACAATTTGGGATCTGTACTGTTAAGAACAAATACAAACCATAAAAATGTAGTTGAAGGGTGAAAATATTTCACTGCAACATCTAAAAATCCTCATATAAAAGTTTATAGTAAGTAATCACCACTGGATCAATCACATTATGGTTTATTCATCACAAATCCTGCACACTTTAATTATTTTATAATACTGTTTCCCATACATTATCATCATCCTTATTCATAGTATAAGAGAAGGTGAATTGTAATAAAGTTTGAGATTTCTTAACTTTATACTTAAATTTTAATTACTTCTCTAACTCCAGAAAATGTACAAGATAGTAAATGCTCTTAGAAGGAAACACAACTTTGCTTCATTGAAGAATTTCTGGCACTCTAGGAAAAGATTGTAATGCATACTAGAGGCTTGTTTTCAGTCCTGTTTCCTTTGTGAGAATGCCCTACCTCTTTCCCCATGGTCTGATCTGGACCATTAATCACAAAGCTCCATCATTATCCCATGAGGTAGGCCGCTACTCTGGAGGCCCCAGTGAACCATGACAGTGATATTCATGCCTGTTTGCATAGTCTCCTCTTCTGAAGTCTGGCTGGCTTCTCAATCTGCTTCCATTAATAGAATGTAGCATAGTGGCCAGAGATTTACCTCAGTGGCACCAGCGCCTGCCTGGCAAGCGCAAGGTCTTGAGTTCAAGCCCTGGTTACACACACACACACACACACACACACACACACACACACAGAAATGTAACATAACCACACAGTGCCAGTTCTGAGTTGTACCTTAAAAAAATCCTGGAAGCTTCCACTTTTTGTTTGGAAAAAAGTCAGCTCCTATGTGCAAAATCCAACTATTCTAAGATGGCCAAATTGTGAGAAGAGTTGCATGGAGAGGTCACATGGAGCAGAAGAAGGTCTTCCAGCCAACATCCTCAACTGAGCTTTTGATTAACATCTAGCACTAACTTTCTCAAGGGAAGCCATCTTGTAAGGGAGTTCTTGAGTTCCAAATGAGCTGCCTTAGGCTGGTGTCTTTGGAAGCAGAGAGAAGCTGTCCCTGAAACGCTTCGCCAAAATTGTAGAATTGTAAGTAAATAAATGTTTGTCTTTTCAGAATCCCTCCCTGAAAGAAAAGTAGTTTTACCAATAAAAGCCTACACACAGACAGAAGGCCAAGCAGAGTGAGTCTTTGGACTGACTTGGGCCTTCGTCTCAACTGGGAATGAAGCCAACCTCACACCCTGGAGGTATATCTTAGGGCAGATGTATCTATTCAGCTGTTTGTGTTAGGTTTCAGCCACTTCCATATAAAGGAAGTTTGATTAATGCTATCTTGTTCCAACTCAGAATAGGATAGTAAACAAGGACACACAATTAAGACAAATGATAAAAACGATGAACTGCAAGAGATATCTGAGACTCTGTACAACACCCTGTGTTAGAAGCTGTAGAAGATAAAAAGGAGGGTTGGGGATTGCAGTAGTTCTCTACCACTGCTGTAAGAAATTACCACAAACTTAGTGGCTTACAACAACACAAATGTGTTATCTTCTACTTTCAACAATCAGACATAGATATTGTTAGGCTAATATCAAGGTATCAGCAGGGCCAAATTTCTTTCTGGAGGCCCTAGGGAAGAAGCAGTTTTCTTTTTTTCCAGAATTTGGATGCTGCTCAAGTTTATTGAATGTGGCCGTTTTCCCCATCAGTGACTTAGCCCCAGCAAGTGGAGACCAGGGCATCTTTCACACTTCTTTTCTGCCCCTTTCTCCCACTGCCGGACCCTTGTGCCTATACTGGCACCACCCACACAATCCAGGATAATCTTTCTATCTGAACAGCCATAACTTAGTCAGATATAAAAGACTCTTTGGGCAGGTGAGCCAGAATCCACAGGTGCTAGGAATTAGGACCTGGATACCTTTGGGGGCCATTATCCTGCCTGCCACTAGACTAGCCAAGAGCTTCTGTTCTGCAAAGGGGACAGTAAAAATATAACTGACGCACGCTGTGTGCACACACACAGACACACACACAAATACAGTGTGATATATAACTCATTTGCTGTGAATGGGACAGAGAACTGAAGGAAAATGCCATGGGGTGAGAAAATCTGTCTATTGTGCATCCACTGACTTCTTCTATAAACGTTTACCAAGCCTGGAGTAGTTGTAAAGCTCCTTGGTAGGTGATGAAAGCACATAGACAGATTTTTGTCTTTCAAGGTAATTTCTGTCTGGAGAATCAAGTAATATCTAAGTGTCTGTAACATAATGTGATAATTGATAATATTTAAAAAATAGCTTTGTGAATTTCAGCTTTTCACTTATATCTTCTGAATCCTGAATTCAGCGTATAATTTTATTATATGTGAAGCACTGAGAGCACTAATGCATTTTTTAATGTAGTAAACCACGCAGGTACATGGAATAGTCTAACATAAACAACTTTAAATCTGGAAACATTTCTGATTTGGATTCAGTGATTTCCTAATTCATCAGCTACACCAATATTGCATCTAGTATATGCTAAACTCACACCTTAATGCTGCAATCTCTAGAATTAAATGATTTAAACACTGTAGATATACATAAATCTACATTGTAAATCCATGAAAAGGATTTTATCTTAAAATATTCTTGAAATGAGATAAAGATTTTAGTAGATTATAAAAGAGAATCTGTTTCTCTACTACAATGAAGTCAAAGTCTCAAATGCTGTGAAGTATGGAGACCCAGATAGTGCAGACAATTTTCTGTTATGTAAGACGAATATATTATATATTATTTATCTATGTGGTCATGAAAGAGAAAAAGAAAAACATAGATTGAATTATTCAGGAGTTTAAAAGTTTATAAAGAGTATTTGTGTAAATTCCACCTCGCAGGTAAATGTAATTAGTCCAGGAATGGCTAAAAGTATAAGCAATTTAGACATTGAGACCTGCAGCCAAGTTCCTCAGGAAGGTTTTCATTGGTGCTCTCAGCCATCCAGTCCCTGGCTGTCACTATGGAAGATGGTAGGCTGATGGTGTGTGGAGGCAGGATCTCGCTGGTATCTTTCTGTAGGGCTTCTCTGTATATATTAGAATAGCTACAGGATACCTGTAGATTATTAGCTGAATTTTCTCCAATTAGAAACCCAGCTGTACTTAGATACTCAATGAGGAGATGGAAATTAGTGTGTAGCCTCCCTAAAGCAGAAAGTCTCCCGTTCAGAGCATTCAGTCTCTATAATTATGAAATGCTCTTCTTAAACTCATGAAAAATTATATTTAGAATATAACTACATAGGAAAATATCCAAACTTGT